AGTAGTAGGTAGTAGGTAGTAGGTAGTAGTAGGTAGTAGGTAGTAGTGGGTAGTAGGCCGTAGGTAGTAGTAGGTAGTAGGTAGTAGTAGGTAGTAGGTAGTAGTAGGTACTTAGTAGGTAGTAGGTAGTACTAGTAGTCACAACAAGTTTAAACAAGCACAAAGAAAAGGCCAGGGACACAGGATCAAATTAATAGGGGGTAGTAGTGCGGATTATTGATGGGGGACCGGCCCTTGTGAGGGGTACCCTTTGTGAGCTTGTCAAATGATTGTTGTTAATTGTTTTTTAATAAGGCAATTTATGGTGATGGTGGTGGTGGTGGTGGTAGCAGCAGCAATAGCTAGTAGCAGCAGCAGCAATAGCTAGCAGCAGTAGCAGTAGCAGTAGCAGTAGCAGTAGCAGTAGCAGCAGCAGCAGGAGGAGTAGTAGTAGTAGTAGTAGTGTGTGGGCTCGGATTAACTGGGGGGGGGGGTTCTGATGCCCAACTAGAAGATTAGGGGGGGAAATAGGAACGAATAATACTTTTAAATTGGGCAATTTTTGGTGGGTTTTGTGTCTTCGGATTAACTAGGGGAGGTTTATTAATCGTAACTTTACATTACACAGAAACTGGACAAGTAACTAGTAGAATGTGATGGACGAGTCAAAAGCGTTGGCCGATTTTGATGTTGGGCTAGTGGGTTGAGAAAATCCAGAGTCATGGCCGTTCCTTTCCTTTCTGCTCCTTCAGCCTCACGCCTCACTCGTGTGACATGCTTTGAGAATAGATCAACAGCCTCACTGCACAGTAGTTCACAAAGCATCCAGAAACACAAAACAGTTATATACATGTCCGGTATGGGTCGGAACCCAAAAGGCTTTACATGGGTTCGGGCCCCTGTTCGGGTCCTGGTGAGTTCGGGCCCTGGGTCCAGCAAGGAAAAAGGCGGAATCGGACTGACTTGTTTTGCTTCCTCCTTCCTTCACCCTCCTTCCTGCCATATAGTCCTCATTTGTTTTCGTGGTGCTTTCCTTTCAACACCTTCCCTCTGAGCCTCTTGAACTTCTCGGGTGGAAAAGAACAGCATTCACATGCATTCACTGAGCCACGTAAGTCTGCATTCATCTGTCCAAACAAGTAGGGAATTGAACAATCAAGATCAAGCATCAATCGAAATGTCTCTCTTCCGATCTTGCAGGTGTTTTTATTTGTATACTTACACGTATGAGGATAAAACATTATATAACTATACCTGTGCCATGTCAATGTATGACACAGCATGTTCCGTCGCAGTCAATTGAAGCTGCTCATCAACATCTCTAAGCCACCTGCTGTGCTTTTCCTCTTTTCTGTACGAAATTGCGCAATAGAAACAGTCGCTCGCAAAACGGACACGGCGCAGCGTTGGAAACCAACGATCGGCAGGCCTCTTCGCCTTGGCGTGTCTTGACCAGCCAATGGGCACCACTATATTATATATATTATATATACATAGCTACTAGTGGCTTCTTGTTACTAGTAGCGATGGCCTCCACCCTAGTAGCTTCTTGCTACTAGCAAATGTGCATCACTCTGCTTGATGATAGGCTCAGTTCCATGCTGTCATGTGTGATCATGTGTCGTCTATTCTGGCTCATTCTGTGCAACACTATGGCACGGGAACTCACAGAACAAAATCAGCAAATTAACTCAATGATACTCAATGCATGTAATATGCCAATGAGTCAATGAGTCAAACTGTTCCCTTTGACCGAGCCCACCCACCAGGAAGCTGCGGCTCAGAACGTTGCAAAACAAAAATCTCATCGTTTGCGAAGCTTGTGAATCAAAAAACCACATCAAACATCATCAAACCATGCCCTTTTTCAAAGTCCCCAGGGGATCCTTGGCCGAGCGACCTTCCCAGAGCCGGTCGGGTGGCCCGCGCACGCAAGCAACTTGCTTTCCAGGCATGGCCATCGGATCCACCTCTGTTGCCTCACTAGTGCCGCGTGGAGTGAACAATTGGTCGAGGAGGTCTCGATCAACCAATTCAAAAGAAAACACGACCTATTCCCTCAGGTATGTGGGAATTGAAATTGATCTCTGTAGCACAGCCAGTCAGTGGAACTCCTTGCATGTACATTATATAGCTGAATGTGCAGTTGAGCTTGCGAGAAATCACAGAACCAACAAAACGAGGACATTTCGGGAAGGCAGGGTGATTGCTCACATCTCAGGGCCCCGATGACATTGGGAGCGATCTGTCAATCTATTTGCATGGCAGGCCCCGTTCGAGGCAAGATCAGAATCCTCAACATGACGGCTACTCATCCAAGCAGCCCAGGATTCAGCTGGTCAATCCCACTTCCAAATCGACCAAGAACCAGCACTTCGTTCGCTTCGTTCGCTTCCAAAAGGACCACCAGTCCATCCATCCATCCCGCGGATGTGCTGCTTCGCCCGTTCGCCCGCGCCTGGATAAATTTGATCTTGCACCCGGTGGTGTCGAAGATATGCCGCAGATTGGCGCCCCCAGGGCCGATGATGTGACCCACCATGGCGGGATCCTGGGTGCAAGGCGACCTAAACGCTGCTCGAGACCAAAGTCCCTAAGATATCTTAGCTGGCGAACTTTAGGCTCTCCTAAGGTCCTAGGCTTGAAATAAGAAAGATGAAATATACAATTCCTTCAAATGATTGCTTCAAGTGCGTTTGGGGGTGGGGCACCAAACTCCGGCAACTAAAATTGGACTGAGGCGTCTTGCTCGTGAAAACTACGACATATGACCCACCGGCATTGTCAAACCAAGGCCCCGGACAACGTCTACGACCTTGGAGGCCCAACCGTCCCTGCACAGGTGAGACTGCATCAGGGGAGACTGCCACTCGACTGGTTTCCTTGCAAAGAAGGCTCAATTCAAACCAATTGGCTATTGATGGTGGCACTACAAGCTAACTACCCAGATGGCTATATTAAATAAGACAAATATTGTATTATATTATATATACATGAGACAACAACAACAACAACAACAACACTTCTTACCAACTCGGGTTCCGAATGTCAGAAAACAACCAAACCTGCCAAACCATGCCAAACACGTTCATTTTCCACCCACACCTGCCTGGGATGATATTGCTCGTTGAGCCTCTCGTTGATGAGCTGCTCGGCCACGGCCACATTCCCAGAGATTGTGATCGTAGCCAGGTAGTCACCACCCTGGTGGTCCTTGAGTTCAACCAACGGCTTCGAGTTGGTCGGGACAAAGGCTAGTTGGAAAGGCCATGCGGCCTTCATACACAGGGAATTGTCAAGACTGTTGGCTCACACAATTTGTTCCAGCCGGTTGGAAACATTTCGCCTCACCCGCCACGCGGAAGGAGCACCTCAACTTGTCGCCTGACTCCCTAACAACGTCCCACTCTGAAGTTTCAAAATTCGTTCCTAAAGCAACCCATAGGCGCTGGCGTTTCAGTCTTCGCGCGACATTTAGAGCCCAATCGGAGCTCTGAACCCTGGAAAAAAACTCTTTGCTCTTGTGTCCAATTTGGGGAAGGTAACCTCGGATGTGATTGGTCACCCAGTGATCAGGCTAAGAGTTAGGCCGCCTAGGCCTCTGAAAGGAAAAAGTGTTCTCAACAGCATGCAGCCCTTAGAAAAGGATTGAATGAGGATGAGAAACAAGCAGGCACTGCAGTTAATTAATTTGCTGGACAAATGGTCAATGTGGCGGCGATCGCACTGGTTGTGCTGGTTAGGCTGGCGATGCTGATTGCGCTTGTTACGCTGGTTATGCTGGTTTTGCTGGCTGCGGTGTGGCCAATGTAACCAGTGTCGTTGGTGCAACCCGTGTACAGAAGAATTGTGGACACGTATTCTGACACGCATCACCGGTCAATTCGGACCACTTTCGAGGTCAAAGTTCAATAACTTTCATTGAGCTCCAGCGGCAATGATATGCCATGAGTCATGACTTTGTGAATCCGCTCAGAGTTTGACACTGGGATATGTTGGGCGGGGGTTTGGCTGTTGGGATTTGCAGGCCCTGTGGAGGGCTCAAATGCCCTAAATAACTGACAAATGTAGCCTCATGCAGCGATGCCTGAAACAAAAATAGTTGACCTTCTCTTCAACAAGTTGCTATCTTTCAGCGTCATTCCCGCTGATCTTTGCCAAGGCAGTGGGTTCACCTGCGAATGTCTCGGACTTGACCCTGGGGCTTGGAACCAGTTGGCTCAAGCCCGTTCAAACCGAGGCTCGATCTTGATGCTTGCTCCAGAGGCCTGCCTGATCCGTGCGATGGCTTCACCACCCACACCGATCAAGCCGCCCTTCCTGAGAGCGTGCGTCGATCTTGCACATCCAAACACCTTCACCGTCAATCCCAGGTGGCCCAGATCAGAAGGCACGGTAACTCTGAACTGGGCGATCTCCTAGTTCTGATAGGCTTCGAAGCTCTTGAGCTATTGCCAGAGCCAACCAATCTAGCTATTACAGATCCCGTTGGAGAAAAAAAAGTATTCTTTTGAGCTCACCCTTCAGAGTTTTCAGCAGCTCAGCAAACTTTTCACATGTCTGTTGCCCGGATGGGCCCTTGGCACCTTTTTATGTAAGGCCAGTTCCAACACTTCGAACGCAAGCCACGCGAGCGTTTGCTCAAGCTTCATTGGCCACCTGCGCACCAGCTTTCCCCAAATCAATGCTGTCACGTCACTGTTTGGCTGGGATCTGGATCACCTGCACCGCCAGCGCCAACAAAGGCAGTTGCTGGGCTGGGATCGAAGGCAGTTGCATCTCTTTTTGGAGTTTTGCTAGAACAACCACTACTTATCAGCTAATCTTCCCTGGGTTTGATGAAAGTATGATGAACCCCCGTCCTTCACTTCTGGCATGGCCGCCGCCATGGCTGGCATGGCTCCAGATGCTGCTGAAGGCCTAGGAGGGAACAAACTTCATGCTGCCACGCCACGAAGTTGCCATGAAGCAAAAATGATAGTGGATGATAGTGGAGGCTAACAAGTTGACTTTGACTAAGAGATCAAGAAGTACCTGGGAGGGGTCGTCAGGATTGCCTCCAAAAACCACTACTGTACAAAGACATGGATTTTGTAGTGGGTGGGTTAGTGAGTTGCCCTACACCCATGCCCAACAACAAGGACTTGTTGGGAATCTCCACCTCATGAGCCCCAACTGGACGGCCAAAGATACCTCAGGATACCCCAAATAGCAGATCTGCCACATCCCTCAGCACACCGAGACACTGCCAGCTTGGATCCCAGCCGCAGCCACCGCAGCTGCCACCACTGCAGCCGCAGCCATCGCAGCCGCAGCCACTGCAGCTGCTGCCACCACCGCAGCCGCAGCCACTGCAGCTGCCACCGCAGCCGCTACCATCACAGCCTCCGAAACCCCCGTAGCCACCGCAGCCCTCATAGCCTCCGTAGCCCGCGGCGTAGCCCGCTGCAGAGCTGGACGCCAATGACTGTGGTGCTCCATCAAAGAGGCCCACGCTGCCCAGGGAGCGCGCATCGAAGGATTGGGCCCTGGGCAGCGCATGGAGTCAATCAAGAACGGGAATCGCTGACTCCATCAGAACCAAAAAGACATCAAGGTTCCATGCGACTTGGTACACACTCAAGAAAAAATTCCATCTCAGCAAGGCCTTTTCACACATGTTAGGCTCATATTGGCTCGTCTTCATTCATGAGCCCTGCACATCTCAGGTGGCGCGATGTCCGCACCAGCATCCCACCTGAACAGTTTGAGTTTGCGACCTCGGACACCTTTCTCGCCCACTCCAACTGGAGGCATTTTTCATGGACTTCACCATCCAAAATCCTGCTTATTTGACACGTGCCTCGATCGCTTTGTGGGCGGCTCCATGAAGCCTGACACCAAGCGAACATCCTGCCCCGCTTGAGATTAAGCATCCTTCAGGGTCCACGAATGCTCTCTCTCTCTCTCTCTCATCGTGACACCTTGAGTCTTTGAGGACAAATTTCGTATTTCCCGCAATCATGGAAGTGGAAAATGGCCCCTGACACCATGTTCCTCTGGATTCAGGGAGTGCAGTGCAACAAAACTTCAAGGATTCACTGCTGCATCAGTGGTTCAAAGCTGATCAAACGATATCAAACGGCCTCCACGTCCGCCCTCTGCGGCGTCTGCGCACGACCCCTAGGACCCCTACAGCTGAGCCACAAAGGAGATAACGGAGCGAAAGGGCAGTGTCTGAGAGCCTGAGGGTGACATCAAAGCCCGGATGTCTTCGAACGATCGCCACGAGCTCCATGACACTCTTCGAATCGAACCTACGTCAAAGCCCGGTTCCCTCCTCCCACCCATTCCCTGCCGACTGCTGCTTTGCCACATGGAGCGGGCGTGCAGGTGGATCCGCCAAAATGATGGCACTAAATTCGGGTCCCACGCCCATCGCACCGTGGGATTGATTTGTACACCATGGTGTCAGCTTCAAGCCACCCGAGTGAATCCCTTGGCGCATTTGGCCACTGGAGTTGATCGAAGTGAAACACCGCGGTTGCCCCCAAAGTCACACTTTAAAGCAACATCAACCGACAGCCAGAACGGGACAAACGAATCACTCACAGCCGCGCCCTTTTCAAACGTGTTCAACACGCCCGTCCTACAAACTACACCAAACTACGTTGCCCTCGCCGCTCTTCATAGTGTAGTGGTGATCGGCGCCACTGTTGTGGTAGCGGTGGTGCAGCAAGTGGAGCAATCGACACTCAAGCCATCACCATCAGCCCCAAAGCAACAAATGTCCTTCGGCGTGACTGAGCAGGTGGAAGGGCTGGTACTGCAAAGTGTCGAATTGGATTAAATACAGCTGGACCTTGGTAGAAGCACTTGCTGGTTGGGTCGTGGATGTTGATCTTCATGCCCTCGCACGTATCCGGCAACTTGTCGCTGCAAATCCTCAAAAATAATGAATCAATCTCACCATCCAACTGACCAATGACAATGAAAGCTGGGTCTAGTTTCAGTTGCCTAGCCAAGGTGCACTTCCAAACATACATTGCTCGCAACTACATCCACTACAGTGTCAGCACAAGCACCACCAAAACGGCTAGAATCTTCGCTGTCGCACTTGATGGAAACGTTTGCTCCAGCCTAGGTGATCCAAGGGACAGGACAAAAACAGCCAGTTAGAACAACGGTTTCTGTGAAACAATTAGGAGGCACAAGCAAAAAGTAAATTAAAACATATACAATTAATCTGCTCAGGCTACTCCAGAAAAGGTAAAGGAAGCCCTGTTGCAAGCATCCCTGCCTGTGCAGGTGATAGAATGTTGCGCGGGGACAATGTCCCGGAACTCACCTTCGAAATCTTGACACACAGGCCCTGTTGTCGTATTGCAAAAAAGATCCCCCATCAGAGAGGATGCTGTTGCTCTCCTACAAGCATCCCCTTCACAGCTGAGACTACGAATAGGACCATTGGAAGAGAAATTCGCGTTCCAGCAACTGTTGAGTCCACAGCAAATGTCATTTTGGCAGTCTCCGGCGCGCAACGATAAGGTCGCGTCAGGGCATGAGCCCAAACTGCAACAAATGGCTCCAGCTCCTGAAATCATTGACCTTCTGCACGCTCCCGTCCTCAATCAAATGCGACATGATGAAATGATCAAGTCTTTACACTTTGAAAGCTCCCAGTTGCACGGAGTTCGCATACTTTTTCTACTGCTTAGCTAAAAACAATGTAAAAAGGCACTTGTTTCATGATTTTTCACAGGCACCGGCAATCCAAGTAGTCCGAAGAGTTCCTGAATTCCACTGGCAGGCGGAAGAAGGGATCTCCAAGATCTTCACAAGTAGATACGCCATCGCAAAGAAGCCGTCCATCGGGGAAACCTTCCAGAAGAACGGGGACAGTGTAAGCAAAGATCTGAGAGTTCTTGCGACTTCCCCTGCATCACAGTGTCCTGCAGGTTGCAGGTTCGTCTGTCGCCTCATGATTCACATAGTGTCATGGGTGCGTGCAGTTGAAAGTCTAACTTACATATAGACAAACACATAGACATAGCATTTTCCATGCTGGATGCTTAGGGCTGCGAGTGGCGCCAACGATGTTTCATTGGACGCAAGGGCATCAAGTGCACTTGGCAGCATGGGCAAAAGGCAGCGCCCGGTCTGACCAACTCTTTGCACAGGCGCCATGTCTCCGCATCTGGGCGCAGTCACAAAGGGACAGGCTGCAGTAACTAACACCGTCCGTGGCACCATGCTGTTTTGGAGAGCGAGTTGGACCACCCACTGCTGAAGCCGCATTTTCCAAAAACATGCAAAACACCTGAGCCTGTCCCAAATACATGTGTCACACAACTTCGTCTGACATCGGCAAAAAGGAAGCACTGCACAACATGGAGATCGCCCTCACAAGCAAGATCCAAAGCTTTTTTTTGTCGAAGGGGCCACCAAGAAGGACAACAAGTGCTTTGGGTTTTCGAGTGGCCACTCTACCGATTTGGAGTTCCACACAATTCCGTTGACCCATGTCGTTTGCACTTCTACTTGTCCCATGAATGGAAGCAGTGGCGGTGGTGAATGGATTCGAGCATGAATATGGCAAGGGCAAATGCAATTTGGATCACTACCTCACATCACAAGATTCTATATATACCACAGCAGGCTCGTGGCTGCAACAGCACAAGGATAAAACGGGCTTACCATTACCAATATCAGAAGTCAGGAGACAGTTTTCCGTGATTTGGAAGTTGGGATCTGCCTACTTGGATCGTGGCTCAGCTCGTAGCTTACAGCATCCCCCTTCTCATCACCCCACATCTCCACCGCTCCCCATTGCGAGCTTTTCAGCTTACCGCCGTGTCAGCCTCACACACGCTCAACACCAAGTGGCCCTTCTCCTCCGACTCCACCTGTAAATTCGTCAGCACCGTGCCAGCACGTAGCCCCAGCCCTCGCCGCCGCGAGTGTCTGGACCCCAAATACCCGGTACGACAGCCCTGAGGGCCGCCCTCGACGTCCACCAGGATCAATCCATCCCTCCCGCGGCGGAGCACCACACCACGCACGCGCTTCCCCACTTCAGAACCTCCACTTCGGAGAGGTAACGAGCTCAACGAGCCCTGAGACAAGCAGCAAAGGTCCTGCAACTCCCAAGCGTTGCTCAAGGCCTGTTGAGGTGCATCCCCTTGGCCAAACATAATCACCGCTGAAGTTGCTCTCTTCGCAACTGCCATCGCCTCCTTCAAAAAGCTCATGTCGTAGAGACCGATGCTGCGACTCCTAGCGCCAAAGCATCGCAGGTACACAAAGTCTCCCTCATCAGTTTCATCTGGCAATGCATGCCATCCGGAGTTGAGGTCACCTGCCCATCCAGTGTCGTTCATCACATGCAGGCTCACCAAACTTAGGCTATGCCTTCGCATGATTTCCCTCAAAGCCGAGCTCTTGAACCACGAGCTGTGCCGGAACTCGAAAACATGTCGCAGTTCGAGCCAGGCGGTGCGTTGGGAACGGCTTCGCAAGAGCTGGCCCAAAATTTCTAGGCGCCGCAAGTGCTCCTCCGTGCAGTTGAAGGAGGGTGGAAGTTGCCAGAGCAGTCCCACCAAGATGCCTTCATTCACCTGGGCACGTTTGGCAGGCAAAAGGAGGTGAGTTGCCCAAAAGCTAATCCAAACACTACACCTCTACACCTAAACGGCAGGCTGTTACCCAGCGCTGACACACAGACAAAGGCAGGGAATCACTGCGTGAATCCCACCTTGCTCCAATGTCAGAGTGTGTGTGGAACCCTTGGAGTCACAGGAGGCCTTACGGTCGTTAAGATGGCAAGGGGACCAGTCATTTTGCTGCTGACCTGGTCTAACAAGCTAGGCAGGAAGATGGGATGGTGGAGTTGGCCACTCCAGTGTACCTGCCACCCCTTGCCACCCGTTTCATTCAGACTTGTGCTTTGAGCTGGCCTCCAGCCTGGTGCGATGGCCTCCAACGTACTACCGATGACCTCCAACCTTGTTGCTTGGTGCAGTTTTGAGTTCGTGTGCATGCCACCACCCTACTAGCGATGGCCTCCAAACTTGGGGGAATGTGCTAGCGATGCTTGGACCCCTTACATGACTTCTCAAGGAATATGGTTGCCTAGGCCACCGTGTGGCAAGTGGCTTTCCATCCTGTATGCAATAATCTCGTTTGCTGTTAACTCAATTCCCACGATGAGAAGGAAGGTGATGGAACGGCAAGGTGAACGGGTCCGATGACTTGAAATGTTAAACATTGTTGCACTCGCTCTGCTGCACAAGCGGCTGGGAAACCTGGTTGTGGGGAAAGTATCGTGAAAGGACCATGAACCAAATCGTGGAAAAGTAGGGTGACAGCTTGTCCAAAAGTTGCGTCGCAGGTACAGGAAACTGGCCAAGTTTCCCTTCCCACTCTTCTCCACAGCTTCGTTGCGTGTGATAGGAGAAGAGTGTCACACGCCCCTGCGAGAGAACCGGTGGACCCTTAGAAACAGGGCTTGACACACACACAAAGCCGTATTCGGCGCGTTCTCCCTTGCTTACAGAGTAGTAGCGAGGCCAGGGGCCTCTAGTAGCGTCCTGACCTTCCCGGGGAACTTTTGTACAGAAAGCGCCAATATTGGCGCTGCGAAAAACTACTTGAGGCCGAGGGTAGGTGACGAAAGCTAGCAGGGGTGCATCCGGACTGGTGGGACATCAAGCGGAGTGAGGCAAATGCTCATGAGGTAAAACGTTGTGAACATGTAAGACACACAAACAGCAATGACACAGCCAACCTTAGAATTGAAGGCCCCGATAATTAAGGAAGCGTGGCTGGACTTTGCCACACTGTTCGATGCATCCGATGTGTTCACGAACCTGTGAGCTTGTTGAATCTGTTGCACCGTATCCCAAAACCTCCACGGAGGAGTTGAACCAGTGTGGATGCCATAAGAGGTGCCCAAAAGGTGTCCCAGAGGCAAAACAAAGCTGCTCGCATGATTTGTTTGGTTTCTGCTATCGATGTCGATGTCATGAACATGTGAGCTTGTTGAATCTGCTGTTGCATCGTCATGTATATGTAATGAGGGACTGAAGAAAAGCAACGCAGCATCATGAGCATCACGGGAAGTCACAAACCAGGCGTATCAGATACACCTGGTTTATGTGTGTTTGTTTGAGCATCTTTGTCGAGTGAAGTGTCAGCCATATGCACTGAGATGCCGAAGGAAGCTCAAAGGCACGTGTATCTGATACGCCTGGTTTCTGACTTCCCGTGATGCTCATCATTGAAGCCTTGAACCCTCGCGTAAATTTCATGTTTCATGCCCCCCCCTTCCAAACTCAAACAGTGGCCTACTTCACCTGCCACCTAAACATAGCACTATAGCACGTACCGGAAGCGTCCCAGGGGGGAGTTGAACCCGCGGGGGGGGGGGGGCCTACACGTGAAGTTTTCACGTGATTCATGATTCTCGAGGCTGCGAGCCCTTGACTTGCTAAAGCAAGAGCAACTCCAGCTAGCTGATGCTAGCTTTGGTGATTAGCCACCTAAAAAGCCTTAGAAAGACAGACAAAGCAAACAAAACAAAAGCAGACAAAGAGGGCAAGAAAGAAAGATAGGGGTAGTTACGAGGCCCACTTAGTTAAATGAAAGGAGTTCGCGAGCGGGACATTTGTCTTAAACCGCCCGGGTAGCTAGCAATATGCTAGGAGAAACAGAAGGAAAGGCACCAACACACAAGTGTGTTGAGTGCGATTTGCTTCTGTTGCTCGAGTAGCGGGTGGGATAGCAAAGGAGGCCCAGGGCAGGGAGGGGGGAAAAGAAGCTGCACGATCAATTCGTCCGGCCTGTGAATACTTAGCAGCATGACATGTGAATACTTAGCCGTAAAAGAAGCTGCACGACTGAAAAAATTCGTCCGGCCTGTGAATACTTAGCAGCATGACATGGACAGGTGAATACTTAGCAGCATGTCAAGGACATGTGAATACTTAGCCGTATTCCGTGGTGGTGCAAGTGAAGCAAGGTGATGGTATTCCGTCGTTTATAACCCGGCGGCTCGAGAAACAGTTAATTCAGTTATAGAAGTGGGGAAAGTGGAATCAGTTATAAAAATGGAGACAATGATTTCCAGCATGAATTCAGCGCCCCAGTGAAGGGGATCACACCCAGCACCCAAGTGGGACGGCTGAGCGGCTCACACTCTGACATTGGTTTGCTGTTAACTCAATTCCCACGATGAGAAGGAAGGTGATGGAACGGCAAGGTGAACGGGTCCGATGACTTGAAATGTTAAACATTGTTGCACTCGCTCTGCTGCACAAGCGGCTGGGAAACCTGGTTGTGGGGAAAGTATCGTGAAAGGACCATGAACCAAATCGTGGAAAAGTAGGGTGACAGCTTGTCCAAAAGTTGCGTCGCAGGTACAGGAAACTGGCCAAGTTTCCCTTCCCACTCTTCTCCACAGCTTCGTTGCGTGTGATAGGAGAAGAGTGTCACACGCCCCTGCGAGAGAACCGGTGGACCCTTAGAAACAGGGCTTGACACACACACAAAAGAGGCATGGGTGGGATCCGTCCTGCCCGGAAAGGAGGCACCCCCGCACCTGAACCTAGTTAAGTGCAAAAAACACACGCGCATGTGCACAAGCTAAGGTCCGGGCAGAAGTGCACGCAAGAGAAGAAAAGGGTGAGGATGACAGGACATGAAGACAGATAGGGCATAAAAAGGGAAAGAGCCTGCGGGCGCCAATGAAGAGGGAACTCAATGAGAGGCGACAAACCGATGAATGGCCGAACCTTTTGGGTCACCTGTTGTAGACGCCTAGTTTGTTTGTAAAACACGCTGTGCACGAAGGAGGGGAAGGGAAAGAAGAAAGTGAAAAGATTAAAAAGTAAGAAAGAAACGATGGTGTTCCCAGCTACGACACAAGCGCCTAAGGACACACCAGACTGGAAAAAAGGGGTTCCCAGCTATGACCGAAGCATCCAGGGACACCTGAGAAGGAAAGAAAGGAGAGGGAAGAAAAAAAGGGGAAGAGAGAGAGAGAGAGAGAGAAAGAAAAAAGAAGAAAAGAAAGAGAAAAGAAAAGGGAAAGGAAGGGAAGATGGGGACATGGGGACAGGCGCTCCCAGCTACGAAACAAGCGTCCAGGGACACACCATGTGGAGGGGTGCACCTGGAAAGGGAACCAAGGCTCCAACACGCCCCAATGGGCCAAAAGATCTCTGACCGCTCTGGCGGGGCGACTTGAGTCCGCATGGACACGTTCTGGCTGCACAGAGGCTGCCGACTCGTTTGCAATAATACGTCAAGTCTTGGCGAAACTATGGCACAAGCCTACTCCGGTCGCTGTGGACGCCTCCGTGCAGCCTGAACATCGCTAGTACGTTGGAGGCCATCGCTAGTAGGTTGGTGGTATGCACACGAACTCAAAAATGGCACCAAGCAACAAGCAAGATCGGAGGTCATCGCTAGCACGTTTGGAGGCCATCGCACCAGGTTGGAGGCCAGCACTACCATTTTACAAGACACAAACTCAAAACACAGGTCTGAATGAAACGGGTGGCAGGTATGGTGGAGCGGCCAACTCCAGCAGCAAGATGCCTGGCCCCCCTGCCACCTTAACGACTCTTGGGGTTACACACACTTATGGAAATGCGTATGGACTTGATTGCGGCTGCCACACGCCAGCCGAAGTGAAAACCCTAAAGGAGGTCAGGTAAGTTGAAACCGGTACCTTCCAAGAAACCTCCAAGACCTCCAAAAACAACTCGTGAAGTCGAATCGCCGATGCATGAGACGCTTACTGCACTAGCCGCTTACTGCAAAACAAAGAATGAGACAGCTTTGCACTTACGTAGGTTCTTCTCCAAGCAGGTACACAGTGCAGCGTCCCCCACTGCATCAGCACCAACTGATACCCTCTTCGTTGGACGGGCAGCATCAGCGGTGACCCGTCCCCCTGCTTCAAAAGCTAAGAAGATTAACCAACCAATCCAACGGGATCCCTGTGATTCCAAGGGGTACACACACCAAAAAAGAATGCCCCATGAGGTCAGCCCTCCCAACCAGCTCAGTCACAAAGGGTGCGTACTTCGCATGAAGCCATGGCCACCATTGAGTCGGATCGCCCAGGGCTACCGAATGCGTGGCATAGCCAGAAACCTTCACCACCACCCGCAAGCCCAGCTTGGCATAGCTGGCCGCCTGGCGAATCGGAAGCCCAAACGGAAGCCCGACGGTGAGGTCTCATCGAAGTGGTGCACATGTTATAAGGACCTCTAATCTGTTGAATTCCATCGCCAACCCAATCTGATTTCAGGGCCCAATTGGACATCAACTACGGGGAGGGGGGGGTACTCTGTGGGCTTGGTCCAAATCCATCCAAACCCCCTCTGAGAGGGAAGCCTGCTTCTCGTAGCAGCCGTTGCCCTGATCATGGAAGGTGCAGTTCAGCTCCACGGCCCTGAGGCGCTGGGCGTACTTCGCGGCACCAGTGCCCATAAAGCCACAGGTACCCACCAGGCCTCGGAGGGCGAGGAGGGGTATCACAGCACCGGTTCACCCCTCAGTTCATCACATCTGAGAACCCAAAGTCGGACGGCGGCTGCTTCAACAGCAGGTTGATGCCAACAACGTAAGAAAGATTGAAAAATGATTGAATGCAAAGAGCCTAGGGGCATTCGCCCAATCCAGGTCTTTGCCCAGCCAAGTTGGATGCCAACATGTCATCTGCATCCCAGCCTGCCTCTTCGCCAAAGGTCAGGTAGTTGTCCGCATCAGCATGGGATTGGGCATCCTCAACACTCCCACCAATTCGATCCACGTGGCGAACGAATCTTGGCGGACGAAAGATCGTTGAAAAACAAGGCGGCCGCGCGAAAGCAAGAATCCAAAGGTGGGATATATGGTGGGATAGTTTGGAGTGCAGCAGATTGTGATGGAAATTGTTTTCCTGCTCGGAGCAAGTTACCCTCCGTGGTGTGCGTTTTGGCTGGAGGTGTCCTCCATGGTGGACTTCGGTGGGTTGCCGTTTGCGAACTGAGGATCAACATGAATTCAGACCCTCCAACTGGTGCGCCTGTCGTAGCGCCATGGCCGACAACAGGTACTCGTCCGCAGACAGCGGCTGCCCCACCAAGCGCGGCACGGAGCTCGGTTGCATCTCCCGCAGCTGTTGCAGGAGCCCTGGCTGCAGTGGACGATCCCAAGTGACGCAGCTGGACGCCGGCGGCATGGCGAAGGGGCGACGTGTGACGACGTATGATCAGGTGCATAACGGAAGGCGTTTGGAGTGTGGAGGATATGAGACCTGAGGATGTCATAGTCATAGTTATAAAGTTACTTACAAAATGTCCAAAAAAAATGTTCTGCATCATGGTGCCATCTCCCTGTGTGAATCTCAACAAGCTGTGGCCAAGAAAATCAGGAAATATAGAGTCAGAATTTATAAAACGGGTCAGAACGCAAGTGTGTAAGGTGCTGAGTGTCGGTCACATGCTCAATCTCTGCGGGCAAACAGCAGCCTCAACCAGGCCGAGTGCCTTAAACATCAGTACATCATCCTTTGAATCAGGGGCGAAGAGGACATCTTGGCGGCAATGAGTTTGCTGCTTCGTTCCTGCTTGAGCTCAGACGAAACGAAGCCTTCACAACACCAAGGGCGGTGCCCATTTTGGGCAAACAAAGAAAAAAGTAGCAAGGTGTCCACAGAATCTGCCTGGCGGCCATTTTTCGCCCCTGACCCGCTGCTTCACAAAGGTCCGTGCTTTTGAACAGTGAGTTGACACTCCCATGCCAGGTAGAGGCACTGCGATCTGTTTCCTGACGCTGCGAGGTTTTTCATGGGCAAATTAGGCGCTAGACTCAGCCTGCTGTGTCCAGACCGCCCCCGTGGCCTGCTCACCAGGTCAACCAACCAACCCCTATTACATTTTGGATGATCTACAGTAATCTATTCCATGAGTCTGCTCAAAAGTCTGTAATACTGTAAGGAACACCAAGGTCACCAAATGTTTTGCGTGTCCTTGAGGCACACGAAGAGGCCTGCTGCAGGCTCGCTCTTCTATCATAGCCATCTCAACTGTCTCCACACATTCTGCTTGCACGTCGGGAAGGTCAACGGTGCGGAGTGTAGCACCTTGTCAGTGCGAAATTCACGGACGGCACGGGCTGGGTGTCGAGTCTCGAAATCGACTCGAAAGTGGCTTCATTCCACGAAGACTCAACTTCAAACTATGTCATGTGCACCTGATGGTGATGACGAGCATGAGGATTTGACATCGAAATCAAAGACTCAGCTGGAGGAGCAATCTCTTGGTGGCCTCGGCCTGAAGGAAACCAAAGAAGGGGGAAGCCTTGGTCATTGGTTGGGTATGCCTGGCACATCAGCAACGAAACCTACGAAGCATCAGCCTCCAGGGCGAATCTTGACACTCAAAGCAGGCCTGCTGGTTCATGTTCTGCACCAGATCCACTGAACTACCTCCAAAGCCTTCAAAGCAAAGAGATTCAGACATATGAAATGCCCTACATGTACCATGACAAAAGACTTTTCAAAGTCACCATATCAGATCAGCTACGAAGACTAAGAGAAACGTCTGTCATCTCAAGGATCTTCTGCTCTGCCTGGTTGCTCTCAACGCCTCTCCCTTCTCACAAGCACTGATGGCTGCATTGAATGTGATCAAGTTGGGAAGCACCTCCACGACTCGGAAAACAAACGGAAGCACGTTGCGACTCTTTCTTCTTGGTATGGAAGATCAGCTTTTCACATCTTTCATCCAAGCCGAACAGCTGTGGATGAAAGAAATGATGTTGATTTGACATGCAATGGCAAGAATTGGATCCGACACGCGGACGAGCTCGCGGACGACATGCGAAATCCTCAGCCTGGCCGCTCAGTGCCACGAACAGCAGCTCAGCTTCCTGCCATCGACCAGCCTTCTCACAGGAGCTCAGGGCAGCACTGAAGCTGATGACGTCCGGGGATGTGGTCGAGCCAAGCAGCTGCAAGGCCTTGGGAGGTGCGGATCAGTGAAAAAGGGTCCAAGCAGTGGAAAGGGAAAGCACAAAATCATGAAGACATAGAAAGCAGTTGCTCTATGTGGCTGTTGTAAACTCAGCTGTTGATGATCGATTGCTCCAATTTGGAGATGTCGGATTGAACAAATCTACCCACACTTCGCCGTCGGTGGAAACCAGCCTGAACCCAAAGGTGGGCCTTCTCACACGCACTGATCTGCGCATTCTCTGCATAGCCCACGTCACCGGCGGAAACCGGCGTCCGCTCCGCGCGCTCCTGGAACGTGGCCAGTGCCAAGGTTTCGCGCCAGCGTGCAGACTTCTCACAGGCGCTCAAGAGGCTGAAACTCCAGAAATGCAGGGGAACATGATGAGCCCTCAGGAACTCCAGGAGGCCAAGGCCCTGCTGCCACTGGTAAGCTTTCCTGAGATCACTGAAAGAAATAAACGAGATGTTCCAAAGAATTGTCAAGAACAAATTAGACATAATGAGACTAGCCTACTAATGGAAATTCACACTCACATAGTTGCAACCATTTTCTCATATGACTGTATGCTTCACCGGGGATCTGCCCGTGTGATGTCTTTACAAAACATGCATACTCTCACACTGCCCTTCTAGTGCGTTGCATATCCGTTCATAGGCAAGATGCTCCATAGCACTGGCAGCACCACTCAGGGAAACCAAGTCCAATTGCTGGCTCTTCAATCGCATCTCTGAGGTCATGCACACCGTCTCCGACCTTCGATCGGAGATGCAAAGGGCATGGGAATGTGCACCGGGTTCAGTGAAAGTTATCAAGCTGAGGCATCTTCAGAATCATCAAGAACCCGGTCGTTCTTCTGGAATTGCTTGACATTTCAAGTCACAATGATGTCATCAATCCAAGAACAACAAAGCAGTCTATTGGAGAAGCTTGGACTTCAATTTGTTTTTGCCTAGATGCAACTACCACAACCACACAAAAACAATCTCCTGCAAAATGCACACGACAACCCCTGGGGGGGTGCATTTTGTATCTACAAATGCCTCACCCCAGGTCCAAACCAACCAATCCATCTGATAGAAACCTTAAGTCTATAATATTGGGTTGGGGGTTGGCCTGAGTGGTCACTCTCTATAAAATCAACCCCTCCAAGAAAGATGCTTAGGCAACCATCTCTACAAAATGGGGTCTAACCCGTTTCAAAATTAAGGTGCGTGGGTGCACATGCTCGAGTCAAGAGTCAAGGGAAAAATATACAAAAACGTGTCGCTTCTATAAATTGACCCTGCCTTGCAAATCCTGTTTTGGCTAACATGCTCAAAAAATAACACTGATCACTCAGAAACACCCAGGACAGTGATTCTATGGAAAACCAATGCTTTCTCTACAAAATGGTCGTTTCTAATGCAGGGGTTGACCCAATTTGTAGAGGAAATTCACAGGGGATCAAAAACACACACTCTTCAATTCAGATCCAGGCACCACCTGCCGGCCCTCTGGCATGTGCTGATGGCCGTATTGGAATCCAGGCTGAGAGCCATCTGCCACTGCATTGTTTCGCTGCACCTTGAAGCCACGGCTCCCCAAGCAGCCGCATCGGGTGGCACCTGCCATTGGGACATCGTCTGCAGCGCGGAGTGCGCCCCAGCCCAGGGTAGAGACCCCATAAGGCACAATGAGGCGCTGTCCATGCGAAGGGAACGTCCATGCATCTCTTCCTGACGAACGCAGCACAGCAAAGATTCGATAAGGTTTGCATTTTGGCAACAGATGGGGATGGGGGAGGAGAACTGGTCGTTTGCTTCAATGCTCTTTAGGAGCAGGGTCTGAATCTGATGGCCCTCTGCTTGTGAGCTTTTGTATCTCCAGACAAGGCACCAGCAGGCTCAAGCCACGCAACCAATCAACCGCACACGAGCTGAGAAGGGCATTGCACGTCACATTTGACATGGCATATCCATGAGCTGCCGAGAGAGCAGCTTGCCAAACTCCAGCACGATCACAGGCAGTGATGACTGCATTGCATGAGACGATGTCTGGCTGGACCCCCAAACTCCTCATCTGCCAAAGCCTCAACGATTGAAGGCCGATAACTCCGGACATTCTGTGCAACCTACAATCAACCAAAGCATTACCAATAGCTGCACTAAAACTATCAGCCCGGCGTGACGATTTGTAAGGAACACATGAAACAACTTGAAAATTGGTCGCCCAGATCATGAACCACGTGCGAGACACATTTGAAAAAATGCCTGACACCGACCAGTCGCAGGGAGATCCCTTCACCGGTCACTTTGGCAAGGAACAGATCGATGGCACGTTCCCAGTGGGCACCCATGGCGGAGATCAAAGTGTTATAAGTCATCCTGACCAGTCAAGACACACGCTGTCTGACAGGTCCGGTGACATGGAGGGATCCGAATGTATGTCCCAGTGTTTGCAACACTGGAGGGAACCGAGGAACCTCAACGAAAACATTTAAGTTCCTCACTAATCTCAATCTATTCTCCAAATTAACATTGGGGAGAACCTTTGAAGAACGGTGTTCAGTTCCCTACTGGACTAGATCATGGGCCATGGGCCTTGAAACTTCATATCCAAGCGTCACAGATGGTCTCATTCCTGATGAAAGCTTCCTCAAGATCACCAAGGCTGCCCGCCAGGCAAGTGCTGTGGCACATGCGCTGATCGCAGCAGTGGCTGTGACCACATTTCCCGCCAGCCGCAACCTTAGCGAAAGCCCAGCCACAAACCACAGCCAAATAGGCAGCCTTCTTTGGAAACATGTGTCTGGAGAAACGAAGCACGTTACCCACAAAACAAACTTGGTCGCTTGGTGATTCTTGCACTGACTACCCTCCCAGCTTGCTCGTCCTAACTCCGAATCACTTCGCAATCCGAGCGTCTGTGGCAGCGCCCTCAACAACTGGAGAGCCCTTTCCCACTCGGAGCCGACAGCACATGCGGAGATGGCCGCATTGAAGGATACCACACCAGGCTGGATCTGCCAGAAAGGCCTCGGCGCGGACCAGCTGCGGGCTGTACCGCGAGTCACACCCACAAGCCACTCACCACAGAGTCCCCTTATTCAAAAGCTCCAACCCTTGGCCCGCAGTTCAGATACTATATCTAGAAGTTGCTGGGAGCGAGTAGCACCTCGGCCCCTTTCACTTCTAAGTCTGTCTTACGGCGTAGTATGCCATGGCAGGACTGCAATTGGCTTCCGGAACCACTACCAGTCTTTCCAAATGTGACGTGCACCCGGGCGTGTCATTTCGTGAATCTCCGTCGTCCAATCGCCAAGCAACATCTCCTCGAGGAGTTGCAAGGCGCACCGCCATTCCCCTGCTCGGCCACATGCACTGATGCTGGCATTGCAGGTCACTTCAGAGGGGTGCAAGCGACCCCAACCAGAACCTTAAAACAATGGAGCAAAAAGTGAAGCAAATAAATGATCCAGCCCAGTTCGGATTCACACGGTTTTGCTGACAGCCTGTTCATTTAAGTGCGCGTTTTCAGCTTCCAAGATGAAACAGTCTGGTGTTGAGCTTAGGAATGGCCAGCCGCATCCGTCCACTCCGAGCACCGCAGCAGGTCGGGATGATTGGAGCATGGATCGGCTGGCTAAATCAAGTTAGCCCCTGACTGGCATGGTTTATTGGATTGGTAACAAAAAGCTAGTAGTAACAAGTGCATCGCTACTAGGAACAAGTGCCTTACTAGTAGTAACAAGAAGCGGAAAAGGCCTCAAGTCTTCCCTCGGAGACCGAGCAAGCCGGGCAGCCGCCCAAGCGGCGACTGACCCGCAGCTGGTCAAACCGAGGGGCTGAGGTGTTTGAGCATCGCCAAGGCATAAGTCCACTGAGCACTCCTTGGCATCCAAAGACCCAAGTCATGTTGACTGTTCAGTAGTAAAACAGAAGGCAAACATCTCCATGGATTTGGGGTGTTATTCATCCACAGTCGACATTACCCGGATGATTTTTTGAGTAGGTTGTGTTGTGTACGTCCGGTCCGCTCATATTTGGTTCAAAGACACCGGCTCCAAACACAGAGGTATTGATCGTCACATGGGAGGTTCATGAAGAACACAACGTGTTCTCAACGATAGGGCGCATGGATCGTCAAGTTTGACCAGTTGTGATGGCCCAACCTTTAGGGAACGCCTGAGAGCAATCCGTGACAGAATGCCATACACCTTTCGCCTTTCGCCTCACTGAGAAAAGCCTCCAATCTCTTTCTGTCAAATGTCTTCTCCAGAGCGCTGATCGATGCATTGTAGCTGATGACATCGGGCTGCACGTTGGCAGGCGACATGCTGCTCAGCCTCGGGCACTTGTTCACTTCGTCGCCTTCGGGTTGGGCGAAACTCAACGACTCCGTTCTAGAACGAATAGGGTCATGCAAAGGCTGCGAAGTGTTGCCAAATGGTACACGTTGCACCTTATCACCATGGAAGATCCTGGGACAAATGTGTGAGCAAACCAACATGTCTTTATCCCCATCCACCCCCAATAGTCAGTCGCACTCTTATACAAAGTGGCACCTGAACAGGGCGGATGGAGGTTGCTCTCAATCCATGAGCCACCCTCGAATCGATGAATAAGAAGGAGAACCAATCCCTGTGAACAGTGAAGAGCGAAAAGTAAAAAGTCACACACCTCCAGCAGTCCTTTTCTGCCAAACATGCATGTACGATCGGACGGCCAAGGAGCACATTCAGCGCTTTTGACCATTGATGGGCTTTCTCACAAGCGCTTGTGACCACATTGCGGGTCACCACCTCAGGACCCGAAAGGCCCGATCGGGCTGCTCAGCACCATGTTGCACCGGGCCCAAAGCTTGAAGGCAAAAATATGGCCCGCAAAATGCTCGGTGTTCTTCGTTGGTCTGCCTACTCATCGGAACTTCATCCTGATGTTCCCGTCTTCCTTTCATCTTTCTTCACTTAAGCACTCATTGCCGACCTGATACGCTGGAGGACACGGCCTCCGGCCACCTCGGCCGACCGTGTCCGGCCCCCGTCTCCGTCGTCCCAGGCTGCCCGGCGTTGCCCCGCTGGCCCTCGCGCAGAGCCTGGCGCCAGTTCTGCGCCCAAGCGCGGCAGCGGCTGCTGATGCTCCTGGTGCGAACTCCGAGTTGAGAGGAAGTGACGGATCAAGAATGAATGTTCCAAATCCATAGGCAAGACAAGAAAGATAGATAAATAGATAGATAAAGATATATAGATAGAGACTCAAACCTAAGGATTTCTGGTGGCATGATGGAATCTAAGGGCTAAAGAATTTAATGATTTTGTCTGGCCAAGGCTCATCTGGCTGGGCTCAAGAGCTTCCAACCTGCGAATGTCTCAGAATATGTGCGCTTTCACAACAGCCCCACAACCTATGCGCTACCCGGCCCCAACACCCATCTCAGCCAATTCGGCACCTCATCTCTTCCACTATGTCCAGCACATGCAGCCAGGCTGAGCTCTTCTCGCAAGCACTAAGGCTCCCATTGATCAGGACCACTGGGTTCCGGTGCTTCAGTTGCAGGAAGGGCCGTGGCAAAAGTTTTAGGCTCTGTCTCCAGGCATGGCCCTTGTTGCAAGCCACAATCGCCTCTTTGCAGTCCACATGCCTCAACGCATCTTCCCACGCGGAGCGACTTGACGCCCGCAGGATGTGCTTCGACTGCCAGTTGTCCTTCGGTGATGGAAACAAGAAGGGACCAAATAATGCACATACAAAGGTTGGCAAGTTAGGTTCCAGTTCAATCAGGAAGCCAATGACCGGCATACCCTCCTCCATCCAATCGCTACTGAAAGGCGCCATGGTGCTGCGGCCACCCTAGACCATTTGGATTGATTGAAAGTATGTGAGGTGGTGCCTAGGTGGTGGTCCTCCTGGGCATACAGTAAGCCCGCTTTTTGAAGAATAACATGTCATAAGATTTCACATGCTGCGCCATGCCGCATGTCTTGGTGATCCATGCTTGTGCCACTAGTGGGTGTATTCACCTCTTTGCCAAATTGATCCAAAATGCAAGGTCAAAACAACGCAATTCCAAAATGCATGCAAAGCCACGAGTGCCAAACGCCTTTGTGAAAACGAAGGAAGCTTTGACAAAGGTTGGCCAAGTGTACGTTCCCAAGTGGTTTCCTATCTGCTCCTCACTGTTCCCATGATTATCTGACCCTGGGCTGCTATATGCCCTTGTGATTAGAACCTGATGTATTACTGCATTACTTACTTCATGACCACTCCTTGCACCTCAGAATGCTCCAGAACCATCCGAGAACGCCATACAAGGTCCCCTTTTCATCCCGACGCGAACGAGTCATCACGTTGGCCTCGTTTTCGGGAGGTCTTGGTGCCAGGCGGTCAACACATCGGCGGAAAAGCTCCAAAAAA